AGGTGGCATGGTGGTTAAAGGCGCTGGACTCCTACACAGCCAACTGTGGTTCAAGTCACGGACCTGGGGGCTTGCTTTCTCACTCCCCCCCTTCCCCTCTCTCACTCTGTCCTTCTCTGGTCAAATTAAAATAAATAAATAAATAAAGTTAAATAAAATAATTCTTTAAAAAAAAATAAAAATAAATCTAGGAAAGAATGAGGCAAAAGTCCCTACTCTGCCAATTTTTCCCTAACCCTAACCCTCAACAGAAGGCTAACAGAGTATTAACGCCAAAGAATCTCTCCTCTGTGTTAACTACACAGACTGAGGGCCAAAGGCAATTTGGTGGTTAAGGCAGCTGGATCCCACATGGCCAACCGCGCAGTTCAAATCCCGGACCTGGTGGCTTGAAAAACACACCAGATGCATGTGTGTTCGTGCCCAAAATCATGAGAGGAGAATGGAGAAGAAGGGATTGTGGCGTGACTGTCCCTCACAAGAGATACTTGCTTATTTTTCTCTCTCTCTCCCCAGTGAGCACACGTGCCCTATAGAAAATGAGAGAGAGAGAGAGAGAGAGAGAGAGAGAGAGTGACCTCCCCCGCTATGTAAAGCAGCATACCTGGAGGAGGAGGCAAGGTCACGTGTTTAGGCGAGTTATGGGAGGCACCTGAGGAATAATACACTTAGTAGTTAGTGGAGTTAAGCAGAGGTAGCGAAGTCCTGCTTCTCAGCCAGTAACACAGCTCGTGCAGGTCACTGGGCAAGCCCTCTGAATTTAAAGGAAAAGCTGATACTGGGACCAGCAGACGATGCAATGGTCATGTCACTGGACTCCCACATGGCTGACCGCAGTTCCAGTCCCAGGCCCAGAGGTTGAAATTCATGCCAAGAGCGTGTGTGTGCGTGCCCAAAATCCCAAGAGGAGAATGGAGGGGAAGGGATTGCGGCGTGGCCATCCCCCCTGGGGGGTGATTTCTCACCTTCTGTCTCTCTGGCTCTCTCTGTCTTTCTGGTGAGTGCACACGCTCTATAGCAAATACCTCTCCAAAAAAAAATTATATATACGTATAACTGAATTATCTCGTCCGTACTTGGTTACTTACACCTCTCATTCTCTTACCTAGAAAAGGTGCTGAGGATTTTGCATTTTTTAAAATGTCAGTCTGAAAAGTGAAAACTACTTCTGTAATGTTTGAGTTTTTTTAGATTTATTAATTTTATTTCATTTATTTATTTACTTACTTATTTTTAAGCCAAAGAGAGACAGAGAGAGGGAAAGTAAGAAAGCAAGTGGCCAGGTCTGGGATTCAAACCTCAGTTGGCCACGGTCCAGTGCCTTAACCACCACACCACCTGATGGCCTTCATTTGGTTCCTGTAGTCAAGAAAAGAGTCATTACCTCCCACGTAATCAGAATTCAAGAATCGAAACGAAGACAGCCTGGCCAGCCTGCAGCCGGGAGGCCGCGTTACCTGATCTCCAGGCACAGGACGCACTCGTTGGCGTAGGTGGTCATGTCGCTTCCACACACGGCCTGCAAGATGCGGGGACAGGCTGGGTACATGCCGCTGTACTGGGAGCAGTTGGGCTAGGAAGGAAGGAGGAAGGGAGGGACTGGCCAGCGACCTAGGACACACCCTTCCCAGAACAGCTGAGGAGGGACGATGTCCTGAGTCTCCCGGATTTTCTAGAAACATCCCACAGTAAAATTATGAATATACGGGACCAGCCGTTGGCTGAATGGCTATGTCGCTGGACTCCCACATAGTTGGCCACGGTTCAAGTCCCGGACCTGGTGGCTTAAGCTCACACTGGGTGCGTGTGCGTGCGTGCCCAAGATCCCGAGAGGAGAATGGAGGAGAAGGGATTTCGGCGTGACCATCTTCTCTGGTGGGTGGTTTCTCGCTTTCTGCTCTCTGTCTCTCTCTGTCTGTCTGGCGAGCACACGCACCCTATAGCAAAAAAACTCTCAAAAAAATATGTATGTATATATGTATGAATATACATCATTTCAGATGGCATCAACAAGCTGGTAAGGAAGTTTTTGTTTTTGTTTTTAATTGTTTAAGGCAGGAGACTTTTACTTTTTTATTTTATTTATTTATTTAAGGTTTTGCTATCGGGTGCGTACATTCACCAAAGGAAGAAAGAAACAGCGAGAGGAAAATTGAGAAATCACCCCCCCAAAAGGGATGGCCATGCCACAATCCCTTCTCCTTCCATTTTCTTCTCAGGATTTTGGGCATGCACACACATGTGTCTGGTGTGAGTTTCAAGCCTCCAGATCTGGGACTCGAACCGCGATCAGCCATGTGGGAGTTCAATGCCTTAACTACCATGCCACCTGCTGATACCTTTATTTATTTAATTTCCCAGAGAGCAAGTGAGCTTACAGTGAGAGAGGGGGCAGTGAAAGAGAGGAGGGAAGTGAGGATCGCCCTCCTTGGGGAACAGTCATGCCACAAACCTCTCTTCTCCATCTCACCCGCATTTTAGGATTCAGGGCACGCATGCACATGTGCTTGGAGCGTTTTTATAGCTGTGGGGTCCAGGACTTGAACCCCACAATCAGCCCTGTGGGATCTAGCTGCTTTTACCACCACACCACTGACTAGCCCAGGCAGAAGACTTAATGTCTCTCAGATCCTTCCTTGAAGGTTCTGCCCAGCTGGAAGGCAATGTTGGCCTTGTTAGATTTGGTGGGGCCGGCAGGTGGCGTGGTGGTTGAGGGCACCAGACTCCCATACGGCCGACTGCTGACTGAGTCCCAGACCTGGTGGCTCGCTTTCTCACTTTCCCACTCTCTCTTGCTCTGTTTTCCTGTGGTCAATTAAATAAATAGATAAAGTTAAATAAAAGAATTATTTTTAACAGAAAGAAATTAGGTTTGGTAGGACCAGCAGATGACATAATGGTTACATGGCTAGATTCACACATAGTTGACAGTGGTTTGAGTCCCGGACCTGGTGACTGAAAACTCATGCTGGGATGGGACCAGCACTTGGTGCCAGCGGTTGGCGTAATAGCTATGTCTCTGGACTCCCATGTAGTCGACTGCGGTTTAAGTCCCAGACCCAGTGGCTTGAACTCATGCCAAGCGTGTGTGCGTGCATGCCCCAGATCCCGAAGGAGAATGGAGGAGAAGGGGCGTGGCCATCCCTCCTGGGGGGTGATTTCCCACTTTCTATCTCTGTCTCTCTCTGTCTGTCTGGCAAGCGCACACACCCTATAGCAAAAACCTCTCCAAAAAAAAAAAAAAATCTATATAGCATGTAAGTGTTCCGTAAATTTTTTTTAGAACTAAATAAATAACGCCACCTCTTTGCACCGGGAAGATGAGATGAGTCCTTAGGTCAAGCGGTCAGGGCAGTGCTCACACAGCTGGCCTGAGCATCGCTGTCGTGGTGCCACCGAGGACGCACGACAGGTTGAATGGACACAGAGAGAAACACATGGCGGAAGAGGTCAGGGCGCAAAAGATCCACTCTGAGCTGAACGCTCGAAGTCACTTAACCCACCGAGGGCAATCTCCTCCTACGTCAATATCCACCTGTCTTCCAAGGGTATTGGGACCTTCTAAGAGGCCAACTGAGAAACTGAATAAACAGACCATGGCCAGATCAATGTACAACTAAAAAATCTCTAACCCACAGTCTGCAACAACCTGCCCAGAAAACCCAATCATAATTAAGAATAACCAGCCAGAAGCCAGCAGGTGGCGAAGTGGTTACGGCCCTGAACTCCCATGTGGCGGATGACAGTTTGAGTCCCCCATCTGGCAGCCTGAAACTCGTGCCAGGCACATGTGTGTGCATGGCCAAAATCCCAGGAGGAGAATGGAGGAGAAGGGACTGCAGTGTGGCCATTCCACCCTGGGGGTGGGGGGGCTTTCTAATTTTCTGTCTGTCTGTCTGTCTATCTCTCTCTCTCTGTTTCTCTGGCAAGTAGACATGCCTTCGAGCAAAAATCTCTAAGAAAAAAATAAAAATAATAAATAAGCAGCCCAAGAAGCTAGCCTGCTGTAAGAAAAACCCATAGGACCCAGGCTGCTATCTCTAATGACAGGCAACCATGAACTCCCCTCCCTTTTATTTTTTTATTTTTTGTTTATTTTTTGAGAGAGAGATTTCCAATTTAGGACCACATAGAGAAGGCTAGGTATATCCCACGACCTCTCACTCAGACGCCTCCAGCTTCCCCCCAGCAAGCTCCAAGCAGGGCACACGGAAGCCTTTCCTTTTCCTACATTTCCCACTCCTTTGCCCGCCCGTGCTTCTTTGCCAAACAAGGGGACTCCCTTGCTCCAGTCCGCTCTGCGTAAATCGCCTCTGCCTGTTCTTCCTTGGTCTTTGATCACACCCACATTGGTTCATTGGATCAAGGACATCAAAGGTCGCGACCAAGCATGACTGTTACTGTTAGCCCAAGGGCCTTTCGAGTCATTACAGGAGATATTAAAGCAAACTGAGCCTTGCTGAGATATTTGTAACTAAAATGTATCTGTAACAACGTCTTGGGGCCAGCCCTGTAGCCTGGTATTTAAGAAACTGGATCTCATATGGTACACTATGGTTCAAATCCCAACTCTAGCAACTTGAAAAAATACACCAGGGGTGTATGTGTGTGTGCCCAAAACCCATTCAGGATGGAAAAATGGAGAAGTGTGACCATGCCCCACTGGGGGATGCTTTCTCCTTCTCTCTAGCTCTAGTGGGCACACGTGCTCTCTGGCAATTAAAATAATAAAAGTTTGGGGGCTGGGAGGTGGCGTAGTGGTTAAGGCACTGGACTGCCACATGGCTGACCATGGTTCCAGTCCTAGACCTGGCGGCTTGTTTTCTCTCTCTCTCTCTCTCTCTCTCTCTCTCTGGTGAGCACATGTGCCCTATAGCAAATTAAATAATAATAACAACTAATTCAAAATAATAATAATAAAAGGTTTGCCTGAGAACCTGACTTCTAAAGCAGTCAACACTTTGAAAACTGTCTGATCACACCAGAAAACTAGCCCCCACCCACACACGGTGCAGGACCTCACTGAAGCAATACAGTAGTTTCCAACTTACCGTTCTGTGGGTTGAAGGCAGATCTAACTGAGAGTCCTCAGAGGCTGCAAGAAGAAAACAGACATTTCAGTTTGTGATGACACTTTTTTTGGAGAGGATTTTGCTATAGGGCGCGTGTGCTCACCAGAGAGACAGAGAGAGACAGAGAGACAGAAAGTGAGAAATCACCCCCCAGGGGGGATGGCCATGCCGCAATCCCTTCTCCTCCATTCTCCTCTCAGGATCTTGGGCATGCACGCACACACGCCGGGCATGCGTTTAAGCTGCTGGGTCCAGGACTCGAACCGTGGTCGACTACGTGGGAATTCAGCCACATAGCCATTACCCTAACTGCTGGTCCCCTCCAAAAGCTTTTTGAAGTCCGCCTGGATCTGTCAGGCCCTACCTTCTCCCTTCTCTCTGACACCTGGCTTCTTCAAACCACCCCCAGTCCACTGCCCCTAAAAAGGACAATTTTTTTTTTCCAACGCCTCTCCTAAAGGTACACAGAGAAAAGGCTTTGGTTGTGTTCCCATTAGATTTGGTTGAGAAAGGACTTTGAAGCTACGGGCTAAAGTCAGAGACCGGCCTCTTAATTGTTCATCTGTGCTCAGGTAATAAATACAGAACAATAATACATGTTTGACGTTTCACTTCATTTTAAAACCATGTCAAGGCTGGCTTGACTCAATCCCCTTTCTCTGTCTCTCTTTTTTAAAGAATTATTTCATTTTATTTGTTACTTAGTTTGCTATATGGCATGCGTGCTCACCAGAGAGAGACAGAGAGAAAATGAGAAAGCAGGCCGCCAGATCTGGGACTTGAACAGCTGGAAACCATGCGGGAGTCCAGCACCTCAACCACCACGCCACTGCTGGCCCCAACCCCCTTTCTCTTAAGCATTCACAGTAGAACCCCGCACCTCCTCCCCACCCCCCGCAGGGACTAAGCAGGTGCGCGGGGTACCTAAAACCCCAGCTCCTGGTCTTAGGCACCAGAAACGCCGCTTTAAGCGACAAAGGTGTCACTGGGAAGAGTTGGAGCAGAGCCCGAGCAAGAACGAAGGAGGGTCGCCGGCCCCTCAGGCCACCTCCACGCCCCCAGCCTGGGTCC